TCCAAGGCTCAAACATAGTTGGGAAGTTCCAGTTTGTGTAGAAATCTTCAGCAATGGCCCTCCACATCTCTACATCTACAAATCTACATCTAAAAAAGTGGACCGAGTTGTAAAGTAATAAAGGGGTACAAATACGCTGATCAACTAAGTTTAACTAAGAAAATATAGTGCCTGAAGATAAAGATAGCAATTCTGGCGATGAGAAAGAACACAATGTTTCTGCCCCAAGTCAAGAGACAAAAGATGAACGAAATTAAATAATAGAAGAAACCAATAGTCGAAGAGAAAATTCGTCTACTTTAATACAAAGGACTAAAAAATCACCAATTCAAAAACACGCTACTGCATCAAAAAAGAGCGTGAATAAAAGAAAAGTTACCTATCCTTAGCCTTCTGCTTTAGCAAAATTCATTGACTATTTAATTAACAAACGAGGAAAGCAACTTACGGCACCACCAGATGCAGTTGAGGCCTTCCTAACTGGCGTAACACCAGCCCTAAAATCCCTTCTTCTTCTTCTTGTAGTGCCTATCCGTTTCGGATGTTGGCGACCATCATGGCAATCTGCACTTTTCACACTGCTGCTCTAAAAAGATTTGTGGTTGTTGTGTTGAACCACGTTCGTAGATTTTTCAGCCAGGAAATCCTTCGCCTTCCTGGTTCCCGTTTTCCTTCTACTCTTCCCTGCAAGATTAGTTGCAGCAGTCCATATCTTTCGCTGTTCCTCATGATGTGACCGAGGTATTCGATTTTGGCTATTTTTATTGTGGTTAATCCCTTTCGACTCTAAATTTTGATTTTGCACAATCAGAAATATTTTCGGTTGTACATAAATATGAGCTTAAGTCTCTTCAAGAACAAACTTATAATAATCGTAATCAACAACAATCAAGTATTCCAATAGTATCGCGAGCATCCAGTTACCAATTCATCAACAACCAATTCACCAATGCAATCACCTGTTGCAATCTCCACCGCCAATACAAACTATGGATGATACTAAAAGCCCTTTTAACTCTGAGATATGCAGGACTGCTTCCGTAGGTTTTATTAAAATATGTATTTTATATTTAAAGTAGTAGGTATTAGTTATACTATTTTAGAAGTTAGTGTTTTAGTTTTTATAAAACTTGGTTATATTTTTAGTTAATAAATGAAGTTTTAAAGCGTTTTTCTTTAATCATATTATGTGGTTAAAGAATATTGATTAGAAAAAGTAAAACGTTTCAAAAATTCATCATTTTTGATAAATCACGTTTTAAAATTAGAAAAAATAATATTTTATAAATTTATTTATTTTGTACCTACCTTAAACTAACTGCAAGACGCTGCCTCGGTGAAATAGCTGTTCTCCAGTGTGTTCCCGTTTTCTATTTTTTTTTTTTAATTTCTGAAAACAATACGTTAAAACAATTTTTCGGCATCGTAAAATATTGATGAAATTTTACATCATCATGAAGCAGTTCTTTATACAGCGTCACTTATTCTCCTTCGGTATTGCTTTTTTTTTATGCGTCATGGATCCATTTCCGTCTTTTTGCTTGGTTTGCTTCCGCTTCTTCTTCTTCCTCGTCCAAACATATAGCAATTATTGCTAATTCTTCATCCGAGAAACTTTCCATCTTTTCAACAGATTGTTCGAAGAAGACTGATGCATTTCAGGTGTAAGCGAATAGACGAACGAATATATAGTTTTGTGACGTTACGGTACCAGTTTGGCACCGGAACTGATGTGTTTGAATCGACCTTTTAAAGATAAACAAAACTTATGGAGTACCCAACCTTATAACACCTTATATACCTAATTTTTTCTTTGTATTTCCATATCCTTATAAAATTATTATCCTAATCTGACGTTGGCAGTCTAATTAAAATACAAAGGAGTTATTATTTCGATTTTATTTTATTATTTCCTCCTAACAGTGATAGTTGCTTAGATCAGAGTTTCCCAGACTTATCTATTTGACAGAAATAGCGTGCCTAATTTACAATTATCTGATGGTTTCTCAAATTTAATTTTACTTTACTGTTTAAGTTTAAATCAAAAACAATTATTTTATTTTAATGCAATTATTTTAATGATTGCGATCTGCCCCACTAGTAATTAGTAGTAGGTACTTCTGCCAGAATAGCATTTACAATAAAAATAAATAATAAGAAGTCGACTGCACATTGTACACCGCGACATATTAGCTTGTGTCTACATCGCAAAACTCTTCCATGATCATCGAGAAAGCGCTCGCTACTAGATGGCACTCTGGAACGTTCTCGTAGCCTCGTTTTGGCTTTATATAAGCGGCGATGTGCAACGAAACCTCAGTTCGAATCCAAACAGCCTATGGTGGCGAACGCGGTGTTGAGTAATGAGTAAATATTGTACGACTTACGTATTCCCGTTTACGTATTTACGTCTACGATAAATTTTAAATTATTAATAAATTTTTAAAAAGAAGTGCAGAACCATCTACGTCTGAAAGTGGCAGTAGCAGCAATAAAAAGATAAACAGATTCTACATTGATGAATATCTTAAATATGGTTTTTACCGTTATTTCCAATAAACCGCAATGTGTTATATGTGGACAAGTCTTGTCAAAAGAAAGCATGAAGCCATCAAAGTTACTTCGACATTTAAATAGCAAACATCTATTAAAACAAAACATTTATCTAAACAGATAAAAAAGACAAGCCCGTAGAATTCTTTGAAAGAAAGCTGAACGGCCTTCACAAACAACAAGACAGTTTTCCCTTGGTAACCACTACTAATGAAAAAGCATTATTAGCAAGTTATAAAGTTGCTTATCGTGTTGCCAAAACTAGTAATCCACACACAATTGCTAAAAATATGATTTTTCCAGCAGCTGTTGAAATGGTAACATTATGATGCGTGGGGAAAGAGAGGCTGCAAAATTAAATAAAATAACTATGTCAAATAATACTATCCAAAGATGAATTAGTGATATGGCAGAAGATATTCAAGGAAAAAATCTTAATAAATGCACGTACTTCTCTCTTTAAATGGACGAATCCACAGATATATCTAACTGTGCCCAATTCATTACGTTTGTAAGATATGATACAAATAATGGCATTCAAGAAGATATTTTATTTTGTTCCCCATTGGAGACCAATACCACTGGAAAATGTTTACTCGACTATTTTGCGAAAACGTACAATTCAATTTCCACTTCGGAAATCGTTCTCAAAATACGTTTGTATTTTGAGAACGATTTCCGAAGTGGAAATTGAAACGTCAATAAACGTATTTTTATCTTTAATTGTGGCTTATTCCCAGTTAAATAGTAATTAATTTAAAATGCCACAAGAAAATAGCTTCAGAACAATATTAAGAAATCTGGTCTTGTCGTCAAATTACAAGAAATAATGCCTAATGCCAAATGGAGACATTGTTTTTTTACATCGAGAAGCTCTTGTGTCCAAAGCTTTACCACCTGAAAGGGACTGTGTTATGAAAACCATCATTAAAGTTGTAAATTCCATTAAAGGAAAAGCTTTGCAGACCCGTATTTTTAGAAAAATTTGCTAAGACATAAGTGCTTTATTTGAAAATCTTCTCTATCACACCGAAGTAAGGTGGCTTTCAAGGGACAACGTCTTAAAAAGAGTATATTTCACTTAAGAGCAGAGCTTTTAATGTATTTGAAAGATGAGAAATCCCCATATGAAAATCAATTTTCCGATCCTATTTGCCTTCTGAAACTAGGTTTCCTTGCTGATATTTTCGAGCAATTAAATATTTTGAACAGTAATTTACAAGGTCGCGACATTAATATAATTACAGCCACAGATACAATTAAGGCGTTTTCTAAGAAAAATCGATTTATGGTCGACCTCACTTGGCAAAAAACAACTCGATTCATTCCAGTGCCTTCAGGAAATTATGGAAAATGTATCCAATTACAGTGCTACAAATTTCTTGCTGACATGCATGTTACTTTGCTCAATTTAAAACATCAGCTCTGTGATTATTTCCCCGAAGAAATTCAAAACAGTTACGACAGTTGCAGATGGATAATAAATCCGTTTTTAGTCGATTCCTTTCAGCATGTTGAAATACCAATAAACATGAAAGAAAAACTTATTGAAATATTAAATGATGGAATGTTGAAGCTCCAATTTTTTTCTCAGAACTCGGACCAATTTTGGACCGAAAAGATGCAGGAATACCCCCAGTTGGCGAGTGAAGCTGTAAAATGTTTGGTTCCATTTGTAACATCATATTTGTGTGAGTTAAGTTTCTCGTCTATGACTATCTAACTAGAGTTAGAAATCGTCTCGTACTTGAAAATGATATAATTGTGTGTGTCTCAAATACACAGCCTAGATTTGAAAGATTAGTTTCACAGAAACAGGCGCATAGCTCTCATTAAGATTATAATATTTGACTTTGTTTTACTGTTTTATTTTTACGGACTTTTTAATATTTAGTTTTATATTTCGTTTGATAATTAATTGTTAATTTCTATTTACGGCGTTGTTAAAATAAAAATACATGATCTAATCTAAAGTGGTGCTTTTGTCTTATTTTGGAAATGTTCGACGACCCCCCTAGTAACTCATGGCGACCCCCCAGGGGATCGCGACCCCCCACTTTGGTAAACACTGGCTTAGATCGTCTTCGCCATTGTTTTATTTTATCATATTTCTTCTGTTTCAAAAGTGGTTGGCTGATTATTTGTCTTGTTGCTTGAGGTTAATTTTTTTAGCACTGTTACTTAAGTTTTACATTCTCAACAGAATGGTTAGTAAATAAACAAAAATTATTCACCCCATTTATTTTTAAAATTACCAAGTACGATATCGTCTTTTTATGATATTACTTTTTTTAAGTTGTTCTAAAAAGTCCTCCAAATCGTAGTGCAATAGTTACATTTTAACAGATTTTCTCAACATTCTGGAAAAATTTTCTTTTTTTTATTTTAATAAAAAAAATATACCTAAGGTTACAAATATTGAGTTATATTTCTATTATTTTTTTCAGATGATCGACGAAATTTTATACTCATTCAGCACCCTCAACTACATTATCGTTATAGTCATCTTCTTGATATTTGGTTCCCGGCCGCCGTGGTGGAGCCGTAAAACAATAGACTGGCTTAAAAAGGAAGTTCAAGATATTCCAGGCCCTTTATCATTACCATTACTAGGTACAAGATGGGTGTTCAGTTTCGGTGGGTACAGTTTCAACAAAATTCACGAATTTTATGCGGATATGTATACGAAATATGGACCGATAGTTAAAGAAGAAGCTTTGTTTAATATACCTGTGATAAGTGTCTTTGAAAAGGAAGATATAGAAAAAGTATTAAAGAGTTCAGGCAAATTTCCAATTAGGCCGCCAACAGAGGCTATTGCGGAGTACAGAAGGAGTAGACCTGATAGGTATGCCAGCACTGGGTTGGTTAATGAACAAGGTTTGTAAAAATTATTGATTATAAGTTTCTGTGATCTTAGGTTTTAAACATCTAGAATCGGTATTACTACTATTAAAGTAGTGTGGAAATGATGGATATGCAATGTAGTAGTGTTGAAGCGTAATATATAAAACGGAAAGAGGCGACTGGTGTGGCGTTACAGAAAGATTCCAATCAAACTGAAAAGCAAATTTATAAAATTTGCCACAAAACCAGCCCTGATATGATGTAATATAAGACACTGAAAGTTGGACAGTTAAAATGTTTGTGATAAAAATAAAAATTCTTAGGTAGATGAATTGAGTGACAGAAAAAATATCATTAAGGGAAATTTTCGTATGGCGCTAATTGACGCTCAAATAGGAGATCATAAGTTAAGATGATTAGGGTATATGAATAATCTCGAAGTTGCAAGTTCATGGAAGGAGTAAGATATGAAACTAGTCTGTGACGTGTATTAATACTAGTATGGCTCAAGACTGGTCAAGTGAAACCATTATAGCAATAGAAAATGTATAGAAATTGTAAATTACATTAGGGTAATTCGAGGAGAGATGGCCCACTTTTTTTAGAATAGATGTATTTTTAAAAGTTTTTGAAATTCGGAAGTAAAATAAAACTTCATATAATAATTATAGTTTATTGATACTAATTTCAGTAATGAAATACAAATAAAACTTAAATATATTTGTTTATGTTAAAAAATATAAGTATGAACAAAAACCATCTCACCCACATAACGGAGGAGAGTTGGCTCTATGAAAGAATAAGGTGAGATGGCGCATTATAAAAAAATTAAGATAACTCATTTTTACGTTACATATAACTCATTTTTATGTTACATAACTAGTTAGGTACTTCTTTCTGAACAAATAAGTTTGCCACAAAGGTCGCAGAAATTAAAGTATTTGCTACAAGATTCGTGAAACCATTTCTTGCAATGCATACATTGAAGACAGTCATCCGATTTGGAAGTTTGTGAATATATTTCTAAACATCCTGCATAACATTCTGCATCGAAATCATCACCATATCTGAATCATCTTTAAGACTTATTGTTATTGACACATTATCAGAAGATTCTGAAACTAGTTTGATTTTGTTTGTGTTTATTTTGTTTTGCTTGGTTTTGTTTTCTTTGCTTTTAAAAATAATCTTTTAATTTGTTATTAAAACTTTCACTTTTTTCAAAGCCTTAGCTTGCTTTTCTTTCTCTTCTTTCTTTTCTCTCTTTTCTTTCTTTCTAGCAATGGTTTCTTTGAAAGTAAGAATCTGTGCTAGCTGTTTGCTTCTCTTTCTGACTGCAGCTACTCCACGTTTATTTGGTAGAGGTGAGATTTCATCAAGCAATTTTCCTGGTGTAATTTCAGAGGTTACAGTTCTAATCGCCATATCAACTTCAGAGTGATTTTTGCTTGTAGTTTCTGTACTCTGTAACAAATCTAGTTCCCCCTTATGTCAAGCTAATAATCACTCCAGTTGCTATAACCAGGTTTAGGTTGTAATTCAGGCCTTGAAAGGTGAGGATTAATTTCTTTTTCCTTCGGTACATTGTCCTCCATTGACAAAAAAGCATCGTCGGGAATTACAGAAGAATCCAAAGGTACAATTTCAGTTGATTCAAAAGCGGATACTGCGTTACTAACCGTAGCAGACTTTCCCCAAGCAAATTTCAGTAATTTCCAAATTGAATCAGAGTTATTTTTCTTTCTGGGTTATTCTTCATGAACGAATTGCAAGCAAATTGGTTATTAAATTATAATGATTTAAAAAGCGCTCTGTCAAGAGGTTGCAAAAACTGTGTCGTGTGCCTAGGTAGGCAAAATAGGGTTATTCCATTTTGTTCCGCATATTCAAGAATGTCAGGATCGCTGCAATGCGAAGAATGACCATCAATCAGCAAAACATTGCCCTATGGCAAAAAATCAACAAAAATAGCCAAACACATAAAAAAGAAAGGAATAACACCAGCTTTCCGAACAAATAAAAACCTAGGCAAATATATTAAAAACAACAAAAGCCAAAATAAAAAACACTTACACAGTGGTGTGTACAAACTTAAATGTGGCGACTGCCCAAAAACTTACATCGGTCAAACTGGTAGAAACTTTAATAAACGAATAGCAGAACATAAAAGGGCTTTCAATAATAGAAAAAACAGATTCTACATACGCACTTCAATTTCTAGATCGCAATCATTCTTTTAATGACGAATTTAAAATTCTTCACATTGAGACAAACAGTTCTCCCCTCCTCAACCTATTTCATTACAGACTATAAAGTGTAAACGCATGCCAAAAATAGATCACTTGAGAAAGGCAATCAGCCGAAACAGCTGTAGTAATAAGAGGTTAAAATAAAATTTGTGGAAGTTTGAAAACAAAGTTTTCAGTGTTTTATTGTTACATAAAATGAATTTCCATCAAGTAACGGTCGAATCCATCAACTATCTAATTTATTTGATTTAAATAGTATGAATCTTTTTTTTTTGTTATTGTAATTAATAGAAACTGATTTTTTAAAAATCTAACTAAACTGTAACTCAAGTTGACAATTGCACTGCGCAGTTCTTCAGTGTTACCGTTAATCACACAACAATGAATATAATGTTATCTGTATTTGTTTATAAAGAGTTTATCTTTTCATTAAATTATCATATCATACTCCCTAATCTGTTGAAACAGCTGCACTTTTATTATGATTTTTTACTGTATGTAAAGTTGCTATAAAACGAAAAAAAATATTGCGATTAAAATTTTATTGATAATTAGGTAAAATTGTAATAATGTCGTACTAAAAAAAAGGCTCTTAAAATAGTCCATCTTGATATTTGGTAACATTCATTGTATTTTGTGAAAATGCTGAAACAGGTCAATTTTTATTCCAAAGGGGACATCTTCTCCAGACATAGATATCTGTCATTTGTCAACCTCCTCCCCTCAAATATCACAAACCTTTAATTTTAAATAGGATAAAGACTATGTGTGGCACATCATTAGACAGTTATTTAGCTGGAGAATTCTGGCATCCATGATTTTTCTTCTCATATTAACTCTGTTTTTGTAAAGAATTTGTAAAGAATCTAGTGTTAATAATATATTTTCCGTCACGTCAAAAAATACATTGAAAGAAATTTGCAAAAAGTTCAGTTATTTGACCTGTTATTGGTAGCATTTACCAGCGATATTAAACAAATATCTTTTAAATTAGTTTGGAAGGGTCTATTATATCTACGGTGACCGTATTATACTTATTTAAGTAGGACAGTACTTATTTTTAAATATTGTCCTAATGTACTTTAAACCCTTTTTAAGGACACGCGAATGTGTTTATTTTTTCTAAAAGAAGGAACATTTTTAACCACAATACACACATATTATTAAACACACATTATCTTACAAATCTTATGCGAATTTGTTTTTTGTCTTCCGGGTACTAGTGCAGCTATCGAGCGTTTATTTTCTATAATAAATAAATATTGGACGTCCAAAAAGTCACAAACGTCTATTTCCACTCTCAGGGCAGCGATGCAGGTGTACGTAAATTTTGATGAGACTTGTAGTGAAATGTTTCATTTGCTTCATCTACTTTTTTTTATACTTTCTCCAAAATTTGGGTTTTAGTTTAATTTAAAGTACTAAAGGTAGCCGTGCCAAAGTTTCAGGCATCTGTTATCGTGCCTACCAACTAAAACCACGCTCTCCTAGTTGTGGGCAGTGGACTGTCGAACGTACCGTACTCCGAAAGTGGGATGACTGCTGTAAGACTGACGACATTTCTGGAACACTCCCTTCTCTTACCTAGATCTTATCTCTGTCGTTGTTCTGGTTGAATGTCATTGTGAACACTATTCCTAACCCCCTATTTCATTTCATCTTCACGATCATCTCTCTCACAGTAACAGGGTTCATACTTATTTCTCTATACACTCTGTTTATCTCTACTGTACATCTATTACACTCCAGCATTGTGTGAGTAACAGTGTCGGAATATTCGTAGTATAGGCATTTATCTGTATTTGTCCCTCTGAACCTATGAAGATACGCCCTAAAACAGACAATCTATCTAGTTCCTTAGGCTCGGGATCAGTATCTTGGTCTACTGGTCAATATCTTCCGTGTTGTTCCTTACTTCTTGACAGCTTTCCATTGACCTTTTCCTTTCTTCTTTTTTTATAGCTGTTGTCAAATGCCATCCTGGTAACACTTACAGAGGAACACAACCCGTGATAGTCCACAAGGCCTCCGCAGATACAGTCCTGTGGGCCAGGTGTTCGATTGTTTCGGCTGTTGTACAACCCTCGTCCTTTTTAGGATGTAGTAGTTGTATATAAATACCTATTTTTTGTAGTAGTGTAGTGTAACGGTACTTTAAAGCGAAATAAGTAATTTGGAAGAAAATAAAATACAGTCGAAAAGTAGTCTTATCTCCAGAAGAACGGCGTTTAGTTCTGAAAGTCGAAAATTATTTCAATTTGAAAAAAATAATAATATGGGTCCATTAATATCTGTTATGGCAGTTCAGAAACGCACATGCGATGCTTGCGGTATCTCAGAGAGGACATTTCGAAGAATTAATAACATGAGTGAAAGAAATAAAGTAAGCAAGAGAAATCGTCGACATCCAAAAACTTTAGATTTGCACGTCAATTAAACTTGCAAATAAAAATATTATATATAATATGTATAAAGCCAAAGAACATGTAACAATTAGTGTTGTTTTACAAAAAATAAAAGACGAGGAACTGTGTAATATTAGTTAGTTAAACAAGTTTTTGAAGAGTGCTGAAACATTTAGGTTTTCGATATAAAAAGACAAATAATAGACAAGTATTGTGTGAACTCTCTAATGTTGTTTTAAAACGGTGGCATTTCTTAAGAAAATATATTAGCAATAAAACGTTTGATAGTCCGAGGCAAGTTGTATTTTTAGATGAAACTTGGATTTTCGCTAAAGGAAATATGTCAAAATCATCCTGACAAGATGAAATGTTATTCTTC